TTTTTTTTTTTTTTTTTTTTTTTTTTTTTTTTCATTTTCTTCCAGATACAATACGTGGCCTAGCGCGTAATAATCCTATACAATTACTTCATTATAGCTTAGGTAAAGTGAGACCCTCATATGATCCATTTTTCTTTAATTACTTGTTTTTTTTCTGGAGTGTGTGAAACGCTGAGACATATCGCACTATTTACAAGGATAATCAATTTTTAATGGAAATAAATGCAAAAATATATATGTATAAACATTTATAGTTGAACTACGTTTTTTTTCTGTCTTATCGTTTTGCATAAAGACCCTTCTCCCCTTCTCGTTTTTATGCAAAAATGCAACTTCTAACTTGGCTGTGCCAGGGAAATAGTTTACTCTTAACTAAACTCATATTTGTATAATTAAACTTATGTACTATTGTCTTTTTTGAAGATATCACTACTCCAAGACACTCACTTCTATTTCTTTTCTTCCTCTACCTGTTTGTCTGTCTATTTCTTTTTTCATCTTTTCTTTTAAATTTTGTCGTATTATAGATTTCACTGATTATGTTAATTATAGTTCCAGTTTATTTCTCTCTTTTTTTCTTTCAAATATCATATCGTTTCGTTGCGATATTATACTTCTTTTTTTTATCTGAATATTGAATATAATATAGGTGGCTTGAAGCTATTGCCGTCTTTTGGGGACTGTCTTTTTTTTCTCTTCGTTTCACTTCGTCAACAACAATCGTTTTCACGTGATAATAAATTTCCCATCGATTAGTATAAAATCAGTATAAAAAAGTTTCGTATTCGCGGTACAGGAATTAAAAATTAGGCAGTGAAATCGTATCGTAATGTCGTAGCCAAAAAGAAGTTACTTACTAGCTACGTAACACCATTGTTAGTCGACAATTAATTAATATTCGTAAATATTTGGTATATCCCGTTCGTAAATTCAGTCATAATACCACCGACCGTATCGCGTGATAATAAATCGTTAACGATCGCTCATTTGTTAGAAACTGATGTGCTGAGTTTGTTAACAGAGATAATGAAACTGTGCACAAAAAGATAGAAAACAAAATCAGCACTTATAGGACGTCACGTGAAAACTGTTCACTCTATATTCCTCCTCCGATATTCGTTCGTATTTGTGCTGTGTATATTAAATTTCGTTTGAAATATCGACCATTTCCATTAAAGAACGGAAAAACTTTTTTGTCGAAAGTTTCGTCGCTATTTTCTTTCGCGTCAATTTCACATGACGATAATGCAGGCATCCCACATGTGTAATACGTTGCCCATGTAAATGCGTTCCACGATATAGTGCAATTAATCAAACATCAAACTATATTAATATTGACTTTAGGAATTCGGCAGTGAAAAATTATATTTTCTACGTACGTTGAAATTCGTCGTTCGAAACAACAGAACTATCGCTCGATAACGTTTGTGAAAAAACTTTGTCAAAAGTAAAATGGACGAATCTACATTTTTTCATAATACACTCGCAAAAGAGAAAAAAAAAAAGTTTCGCAAATATCGGATCGAGTCTGCTTATGAAAAATTTCGTTTCGTGGAAACCATCCTCGCTTGCACCACTCTCTCTCTCTCTCAATCGCATTAGTCGAAAAAAGAAAAGCACGGCGATGGCGTCTTCAATGTATCGATCTGCCAATATATAATTAAGCTCGAGAAGGCCGAAGCGAAATCACTTGTACCACCCGTGCATTGTTAGAATTCCCTTACCTAAACGTCTCCTAGTATTTTAGTACCTATTGAGCTCTTTCGAGTTCGTTTCTCGTTCTTGCGCGTTTCGATTCATCATCGACTATACACAGCCCACTTTGCTTCTTCAAACGAGTAAGTAGTTCATCTTTTCTTTCTTCTTCTAGTAAGAACCGTTCGATTTGACACAGAGAATGCGTCTTGTAAGCAGGAGGGAAAGGTTAAGAAGGAAATCAGTTGGATCACTACGCACCGATTACAACGACGTTGTCAACTGTTTCCCTGTGTGTAAAACGATTGTCTCGCTTTCTCTTCAGAATTTCAAATAAGAATCTGCCCGCCAATGTAACGATGTTTCGCTAATTAATTGAGAAACGGACAGTCAGATGTATTCATAAAAAAAAAAGAAAAAAAAAACGATTGAAGAGATCACGCGAATTACGGAGACACAATGATACAGGGAGTAAGCACTATTGTTTACTAATGCTGCTACGATTGATGCGAAATCTGACAGGGATTTAATGACATTATCAATTTAAATCGTGATTACTTTCAAGAGCGCCGTCGAAAGATATCTTACAGGCACTCGTTATCCTTTGGAATTCTTTAAAAATGTATAAAACTGAAATATATCGTAACGTATATAACATATTCTTTTAAAGAAGAATCTAAGAATTATTATATACTGTTACGGCTCGTATATTTTCCCTGATACTTGGTTTCGTTATTACATCTCTTCCTTCTAATGTATGCAACCCAATTTTCTTTTGGATTGCATGAATATAGTAAAATTAATATAGTGTAACAAAACATAACTTAATCTGATCATACAGTCCGTAGTATATCTCTGCACTCACTCAAGTGAAAAAACGAGCACTCTCAGACGTGTTTCTTCTATTCACGATGTCGTCGTTCTTCATTTAACTCGCCGTAATGGATCAAATGATCCGCTGAACGTTCCATTACTACGAAGTCGTCACAAACAAGTTAACAAAACTGCACGGAACAAGCGCGACTAAAAAGTCACAAACTAAAAAAAAAAAAAGAGAGAAAAAAGAATAGAAAAAAGCAAATAAAAAACCACTGATAACATGCTAAAACTGCCATGTCTCACGAAGATATCTTCCGAGCCGATTCCAGCGATGTTTGTTCACCGGGCGTCGATCGTTCTTTTTAACATGTGATATGCGAAAAACGTAATTGTACGATCTGCAGTATCCAGTACGATCCAAGATCAAGGAGTGCGTACTTTCAGCAATCGTGTCTGCGAAAAACCAACGAAACCAGCGCGTAAGGAATGCGTTTACTGCGTTTTTGCAACGGCGTTACCGCGTGCTTCTTAAAAATTACGTATAGAAACCGCAACATCTCGGTTCTCTCTCTCTCTCTCTCTCTCTCTCTCTCTCTCTCATTTTCTATTTACATATTTCTGTTACTTTCTTGTTCAAAAAGGATAATATATACGAGAAAGGTCGTCGTATCACCCACACGAAATTCATATATAGTCGCGCACAACATCGCCGAGAAAGAATCCCTGCGTGGTATTAAACAACCGTAGACATGTGCAGCGTGACGTCGCCGGAAACGTTGAACGGAGGTTGGAGGTCCGCGATGGAGTTCCAAGCAGGTCAACAGCCACAGATCCAAGTGTATATTAGAGCCGAGTAGTTCTTTCTGTCACGGTGATAGTCTCGTCCCTTGGAACGGCACGATATTTACCACGTACCGAACTAGGGCCGAATATCGGCGATCCTCAGACAAGATGACCGTCAATGTCAGAATAAGCCGGCGTTGGGGTGAAGGTTGACAACGGATGGCCATGGGTGTGCGCGTTGCCGGATACCGACCGGGCGAAAGTTGTCGGTGGCGGAGGTACCGATGGTGGTATCGGTGACTTCGAGCCGGCGGTCATCACGGTCACATCCGGTGGCGGTACTGGACGCGGTAGGGTTCTGCTACGTGTTAATGTGCTCGTCCCGCTGCTTATGTGACTCGACGTCATGTGCCCGGTCGGACTCATGGATGGATAATAACTCCCCGAGCCTGGGTCGCCTACTACCGGAATCGGGCTGTGATTCGTCTCGTAGCCCATGTAACGGCCATTGTCAATCTCCACACTGTAAAAGTTCACGTCGTTCGGTGGGGCCGGGCTGGGGTTCCCGATATAACTCGATTTCGAAACTGTAACGAGAAGTTGATATTCCATCAAATGATATTCTTTGCGAGTAAACATATTTTTGGAGGTTTAAATGGATAGTTTTCGGGAAATATTCGGCGTGTTACATAACACACATAGGTATATGTAATAAAATCGATACTAGAGCCATTTGTGGATAGGATTACAAATTTGATATTTTGTAGGATATCCTAAAAGATTTGAGAGTTTTTTTTTTAACAAAAAAAAAGCTTTCTAATATATGTAAAATAAAAGATAATGATATATAGAAATTAGAAATAATTAGAAGAATTTAGAAATTAGAGATTTAAAGAGCAAAATATTTACCAGAAAGAGTTCCACTGGCTGTTGTTCTCTGCGGCGGTGAATCCATGCTCATCGGCGGTTGAATGTGGTTGCCACGACGACCAAGAGTACCCTGATGGTGTACCTGCATTTCCATATTCCCTTTCCCAAAATCTTGCATAGTTTGATCTATCAAATACGTGCTAGCTGCGGTTTTTCGTCCCTCATCCTGTTTCATTTAAAGAAAGAGAAAGAGAAAGGGCCTCGTTAAATCAACACATATCTAACACTGAAAAACCTTGTCTACGAAATTATTAACAAATAAACACAACGAAATGAATCATTGATTGAATAATTTCTCGGAGTTTCGTGTTCCTACGTGTGTTTCGTAGCGTATCAGCATGAATTGTAAATAAGTACGTTACCAGTTTCGCATGCATTAAAGCGATACTTCGCGTTGCCGTATCAACATCACACAATTTCATCATTCTGATACATTACGAGTATTTTCGGTATGTTTTACGTTCATGGGAACTACCTCTAAACATCCACCCCGTAATCTGCCTACATTTAAGGGTACTGCTAGAAATGAATATTTTTTTTTTAAAAACGGTATTACTGGTAGAGTAATCGGAATCAGAAAAATTTGCGCTACATGATAAAGCTTCGAAGAAAAATTCTCATATTGTGAAAAACAAAGTGTAATATCAAAAAAATGAAAAGACAAGGAACTACAGCGTGGAACTTCGTGAATTAAAATAAAAAGGAAAAAAAAAAAAAAACTAAAGACTACCAATCTATATAATAAAGTGCTAAAGAAGGGAAGAGGTTTCAGATGATTCGAAGCGCGATTTCTACGAAGGAAAGAAAACTAAAAAAAGGAAATAATAGAAGCCAAGGGGGTTCGAAACGAAAGCAAAACGGAACTGAAATGTGTTAATAGAACTCAAACCTACCCTCCGGCATTACTTGTTACTAAGAACATACTGACTGATCGCACTGACCACGTAATCGTTAGTGTCGAAGTTAACGTCGCTCTTCTCATCCGAAACTGAACTTAACTCGCCGGTCATGGTATCTCCGTTCACGGTTGATGGCGCGTACATATCCGCTGTTTGTGACTTGTTGATTCCTGCGCAAAGATGGATGTACATTTTATAAAATACACAAGATTTTCACTTTTCCAGTTTATTTACAACATTATAATAGATTGACTATCACGAGGTTGTAAAAAATTTTCGTAAATTTTACGAAAGTAACAATGTAAATGATTAAATTTACGGGAGAGCACTATTGTTTTTAATAACAAGTATATCACATATCACATATGTGTATGACCTCGTGCGCAATAATACTTTAAAATGTATTATAAAAAAATGTATATATACATATACGATATTCTTTCTTTTCTTTTTTCTTTTTTCTTTTTTCAGACGACGAAATTGGAGCAAAGTATTCACTGTACATAAATTAACTTACGAGATTTATTTCGCTTTCTCATAATGTACCACAACGCGATGATGAAGGTATTAATGATAAAAAAGATGAGGGAGGTTGCTGCAAACGTATAGATATAATTCATTGTAAAATCCCCCTTTTCCAAGAGAACGTCCGGCAGGTTCTCCGCGTTATTCGGCCCTGCAGGATAAAAGCAGAAAAAAGACAAATATAGGGGTGAATGATCATATTTACCGGAACGTTGGGTCTTCTTTTTCGATTTTAATGTAGCAAAGACTATGGGCGCAGCAATGAGTAGGCAAACAGAGGCGGAAACAGTGATGATAATGACGATGATGTAGGAAGAATTAATCTCGCTGGATGTCACGTCGGTAGGTGGTGCCTCCCCTGTAAGCCAAAGCCAACGCCCCATCACCGAATTGTTATTCATGCAACGACACAGTCCGCAATGGTTAGTTACAATTTTAGTATTCGGATCGATCGATTATTAAACGATTGCCACCGTGTCGCGTCCGCGACGTTTAATTAGCACGCCTAAGTCCATCAGCAATGGTAATTCTTCGCCGCGAGACTTCATCGTACGACTATTAATCAAATTATGTTGCGCAGTTGGTTAAATACTAGCAATTACGACAATCGATATTTCCCGTTAAGGCAGACGTTAATAAATGTTATTTCACCGTATCGTATTGTTAATGTAGCGATGTTTTATGTTCGACGTTATAAAATTGGGCACGTCATTATAGGCAGTAGTGATTTTATTTCTTCTTTTCATTAATTCTTCTTAGCAGAAAGAGATGTAGATGTGATGATTAAAGAACGAATGAGGTGTGACATGATTTTAATGTAAAATGCACATATCTTCTGTTGTATAAGCTACGATTCGTCATTTTAGTACGACAATACGATTCTTTAACAGAGTGAAAGTTTGATTTGGAAGAGGAAGTACAATTGGTGGTAATAAAATTTGAATAAAGGAATGTAACTCGATTGTTGTTTGTTGGATAATCTGGAAAGTAATTGACAAAGCAAGCAGAATCTATTATATTTCCTCCACCATATCAAGCTGGCTTCTACGTTTTCGTTTCAAATGGGGAAGAATTGGACATAAATTTTCAAAGTACATTTATTTATGGAACAACTTTCCACGAATATTTTACTGAAGCAAGCTATTCTGTCACTACTAAAAATGAATTAGTTGCGCTCCATTCATACTCTCGCTATTCCCTTGAACCAAGCAACCATCTTTAAACAAAAAATACGTTTTCTATGAAACTTTACGATTATTGTTACTTTATGATCATTGATTTTTATTCTACCAAACAAAAATCTACACGTGTTTAATGACAAAACGTATTTCTACAAAATACAACAACTATTGTACGATGTCATATATCGTATCTAAAAATTGTTAGTCGAACCGTTTTCAATGTCTCAGCAGATTTTAACGGTTCAGTGTTTTATATTGGTTAGAATGATAAAACTTAAAAAAGGAAAAAAAATATGGCAGTTTTGCCCTAACAAAGCAACCATTACGGCATATAGCGTTAAAATAGTATATTTCGTATTTTAAATACGAGAAATTGAAGAAAGAAAATAAAGAAAGAGAAACTTACGTAGCGTCTGAACTTTGACCAGGTCCGGCAGAAATCCACTGTCCCCTTTCTCGTTAATGGCTTTCACGCTGAACACATAGTAAGTTCCGAGGGACAATCCTGTTATCGTAGTTTTATATTCTCCTGGCGATACATCGAGATAGTGGTATCGATCCTCGTAGTCTACTGCCTGTCGCCAACGTATCTGATAGGAGGTTAGCAAACCGCCGTCGAATCCTCTTTTCCACATCAGGGTGACGGAGTCGTGGGTGACGTTATAGATCTCGAGGTCGGTCGGCTTGTCTGGCGGCGATGTTACGTCCAGGTGTATGATATCCGTCGACTGTCCCATTTTGTTCATCGCCCGGCACTCGTATTTCCCGTAATCGTGCGACGTTACGCGGAAAATGGTTAGTGTCGATTCGGAAATTAATTCGCTTAGCTGTAAAAAAGACCGAACGTGTTCGTTTGGCGAGATTGCACGGTGGAACGATCAATTCTCGTTGAAGTAAATAATAGTGTTTTCGGAGTTTCTCGTGGCTTTTCAATGGGCAACGCATTTCAAAATTGATAAAAAGGATCACTCAGTTACGTGCATTTGAGCAACTTTCAAATTTCGTGATCGATCACGCAAGAATATTTTGCGAAAAATTTCGTGCCACTTTCATTTATGAACGACGTGACAAATATCAAACAAGATCTTATTATAATTTTTATCCTCGAGGAAATGATTGAAAACGAGAGAACGAACATGAGTTTTGGAAATAACAATCGCTATTAGATATTATATTAATGGACTAAAATAGGAGGTCTTCTTTTAATTCTAAGATAGAAACCAAACTTACGTCAGTATGAGTAATGCCGTATTTGTGATCCGTGACATTAGGTAGCAAGGTTTTTCCGTTGAATGACCAAGAATATCGCGGCAAGGGCGAACCTCGTGCTTTGCAGGACAATTGTACATTTATTCCTTTATTTGCCGCTGCTTTTCTCGTCAACGGTGTGTTTATCATTTGCGGTTTGACTGTATCGACACATTATTATTTTATTCGAAACATTTCTCTGTGAAAAATGTGACAACGTCGACGATAAAGTTATACGTACAGTTAGTAACGAAAAGTATAGGCTCGGAGGTAACGTTGCCTATTCCATTGTTAACTTTGCACTGATATTCTCCGACGTCCTCCTGATCAGGGTTCTCGATGTGCAGATAAGAAGTTTTGTTGATAAAAGAGGTGGAATATCGGCCGGAGAGCTCCGAGTTCGAGCCAACTTTCTGCCACGTGACATACTCGTCTCCTATGGGGCTGCCGTCCACTTCGCAGAACAATTTCGCTTCGATTCCAGGTGGATACACTATCCCCGACGTCGAGGTGCGTTTAATTTTTGCCGAGTCTGGAAAACGTGTGTTACACACGGATGTATCTCAATTTCTCCAGCAATGAAATTCTACCCCCAATTAAATATTCAAAGCAATTTTCAACTGCGGTGACCGTGCTTTTGAAATTCACTAATTTTACCAATTTCATATTATATTTAATACGTGATACTTATATTATATTTTACATGTAATATTTAACATGTAATTTAACATTATTCAATATATTTGAGGTATAATTTTAACTTTTGAGCTAAGTTAAGATTAATATTCAAAAAATTTTAAAATAGTTGAAATGGTCGAAAAAGAATTTACATTGAACAGTTAGATTCAATTGATAAAACGTCGTTCCCTCCTCGTTAGTCGCCTCACAGATATAAGTTCCAGCATCGTGACGATCCAGTTTAGTTATATTTAAAGTAGAAGCGCGAACAGATATCCTTCTGCTATTGCTGACCAATGGCAAACCATCCCTAGTCCACGTGTATCTTATATCGTTAGGATTCCCCATAGCAGAAACAGAAATCACAAAAGGTTCGTTTTCCATTCCGATTAATTCGTAAGGCTCGATCGATGAGAATATAGGTTTGTCTGTAACAAACAATTAATTCTTTCATTCAACTGTAGTCTACAACTTTAATTACTCGATATAGATGCATCAAACATTTCATTTATCTCACACCAATTTCATTTATCGCATGTGTGATTTTTCATTTTAATTTAAATAAATATCTTTTGAAAACGTTTTTTTTTTATTTTACTGAAATAAAGTAAGGTAAGATAGACATACAAAAATTTAAGAATCACAAAAGCATTAAGCGGGTTTCACACGAAGTAGAAATGTTCGCACCGGAGGAAAAAAAATTATTCTATCGTTCTTCAATATTTTCATTCAAAGTCTGTTACGGCGAAATATTCCATTGTCGATAGAGGTATATATACTTTATGAATGTTTTCAACTTTCTTTCTGTGAATATCACAAACTGCATACATGCGCGTATTGTCAAATATGAAATATTCATTCGAAGATCTCTCTCTCTCTCTCTCTCTCTCTTTCTCTCTTTCTCTCGTCGTGACTACCGTGCCGATGTCCCACTGATTTTCGTCGCTGATACCCTCTCGATTCGCCTGTATATGATACTCACACAATACGTCGAGAGTGGTGGCGTCATGAATAGACCTGTCCATTTGATTGTTTCGCGCTTGACATGTGTACACTTCTTCGTTCATCTTCTCCGTCACGTCCAACGTGAGCTCGACGAACGACAGAAATCCGCCGTGTAAGCCGGGCTTAGTGCCATTTTTGGTACCCTGTACGGGGATCCCGTCCTTCCACCAGGACATCTCCGCCGCCGGATTACTGCTGCTCGATTCGCAAATGATACGACCCTCTTGGCCCGCGTGCAGATTCTGCGGCTCGCGGCTGATCTTCACTTTCTCGGGCGGAACTGAAGCAAAAACAACGATAATTGCGAATCAATCGTAATGCTTTTCGCTTTGAAGTAAACTTATTGCAAGATCTCGAGGGAGAAAAGAACAGGTTAATTTACTTGATTTTTATCATTAAAGGTAAAAATGGCAAGGGTTTTTTGGGAGTACACAAGATTTGTAAAGCGCGATTATTGGGAGGATTTTCGAAATTCGAGGGAAGATTTCAGGATTTAGGGTACGAGATTTTTTTTTTTGAGCGTGTAGAGTGGAATAAGAAGGAAGTAAAAAACCTCTTACACAATAATTTCTCGAGCATAAGTATTAATATTAATATTAATAAACAATCAAGTTACGAGTTGTAAGTTTTACAAATTTATCACGATGATTCAAACCGGATAATTTATAATTTGAAAAATTTATTTGTGAAATTTGATCGAAATTTGATTGAAATTTCATCGATTTCGTTACCGAACTTGTTAATGTTGCACAACGATATTTAATAATAATCAACTGTGTTGTAACTTGCAAAATTTCATTAATTACATCGAGGAAGAAACTAGCTCGGAAAATAATACTCGAAGTTCAAGAAAAGAAACATGAAGATTTGCAACTTAATTTGAAATCCTCAGAACTAATGAATGTTCGAAAGAGTTGATTAATGAAATGCGACACCACAGTGTCGATCGAAAACAAATGAAAGAGAGTTTTGAACTTGTCGCCGTGCAATGATAAAAAAGGAAGAAATCTAAAAATTAACGAAGCTTTCTCTGCGTTTCAAATTTCATTCTAATGAAATGATATAAATGAAATATGACAGGATCGTATATTATACAGTGTACTATATCTTACAGTTAACTTTGAGCACGAGTATTTTGAGCAGAGGAATTTCTGTTGCGGAATTCGCTGCCTCGCATCGTATGCGCGCGTTATTGTCGGACGCGTTTACGAGTATCGTCAGCTCGCTGGAAACCGCGTGATCTCGTGTTCTCATGCTTCCTTGTACCTAGAACAGAAAGCATGTGGATAAATTAATGCAGTCACGATTGCAAGGAAAAATATAGTGGCAAGTAAAAAGATTCACTGTTTTCAGATTGTGTTGTCTGAGACTGAGAAAAAACATAATACCGGAGTAGTACCGTTATTATCGTTGGTTCTTGTTTTGGACGATAAAGTGAAGTGTTTATTAAAGTTTTGACACGAGAGATAAGTGTAAAATAAATTGATAATAAACTATATCAAAATAATTAAAATCGAATAATAGTTTTGATTAAAAAGGTAATAACTTCGTGAACGTAAATACGGCAGGAAATTAAACTGAAACTCTCAGTTTTGTAAAATCGATCGTATTTAATCATTACTTCTCTATTTCATCTATTATATCGTAAAATTCTCAATTACAATAGACTACTTACTTTTCTATCATTCTTGTACCAACTTAATGTAGCGAGTGGATTGCCGGAAGTGGCGGTGCATGTCAATTTGAGCAGCGTACCAGCGTCGATCGTAGTTCCTTCCTCGTAACCGGTGATCATAAGCCTCGACGGTGGATCTATCGCAAAATAAATAAAGGGACTTCGTACTTCCATTCTAATATCGGATAACATCGTAACATTTTCCAACGAGGACGCAAGATACTCTTAATTGGATAACAAAACGCATCAGGAGACAGGGTTCTACTGTTAGGATTTAGCAAGAGGAAGTTCGTCACGAATCCGAATGTCCCTCTAACTAAGGACAGAGTTAATTTCATCCTCAAGTTCGTATTACACAGACAGACGTCCAGATTCATGCCCGAACGTAACCATCCTCGATCCAGCCGCTTATAGATCTTGGGATAAACACGCTGGAAGTCTTTGGCTAGCTTCTGGATTAGTTTCATATTAATCTTAGCTGTCTATTGTAAGAGCAGATTGCGTGCCGGGTGGATTACGTTTACATTGCAGTCATTCGTCTAATTGTCTAGCATCTCCTTGTATCAAGTTGCATTACTCACAAATCACGGTTATGGTATGTGTTCTGACGACGTTTTCCGTCAGCTTGACATTGGACGCATCGCATATCACCACGATGCTACGGCTGGTGCGATTTATGTTAAAAGTTACGTTCGAGGTAGTGATCCAACCGCCTTGAGGAGCCGGTTCGGTCCTGGAAGCGTTACTTTCAAAATTATGACCGTCCACCGTCCATTTGATATCCGCCGGTGGGTTCGAATTCTCCGTGGTGCAGGTGATCACCACTTGTTCGTCGGCCTTCGCTTCCGTGGGCCCGCTGATCGTCACTCCGGATGGCGCGACTGAGAAAGTCCGAAAGATAATTGTTAGTTCCACTTGTTACTAAGCTGATGTTATATCTTTAGCTAGGATTTTTCTATTTTTAAAAAAGAATAATAAAATCCACAAAAAACTACGTGTTTTTCTGTTACTTTTATATACCAACCAAAAGTTTGGGTATACGCCCGATGTAATAAATAGATCTTTTATTATTGATATTATCATCAGTAATACTGATTTCCTTGTCTAGAGTATTATATAATAGATTGTCATGTAGTATAGCTAAAAATATGCAAAAATTATCATAGTGCGCGAACTAAGAATAAGTATGTAATATGAAAAAACGCAAAATTTTTGATCGTATTGTTTTACAATTATCTGCGAACGAACTGTAAAATAAAAAGTTCTTCAATTTCCGATACTCACAAAGCACGGTGAGATCCACGTGCACCTTCATAGGCTCCACGCTCATGATATTGGACACCTCGCATCTGTACCTTGCGTTATTGTCTTGAGCTTTGGCAATGATCGACAACACGCTCTCGGAAAAGCTACCCTCGGTACGATACACGGTGCTGACCTGTTCATTGTTTCTGTACCAGACGATCTGCGCGGGTGGATTTCCGCCGCGAGATCGACAGGTCAGTTCCAACTGTTGTCCACGTTTCACTGTCTCTCCCTCGGTGTATCCCTCGATGTACGGCATGCCGGGTGGATCTGGAAAATTATTCGATCATGCAAGTCCCAATCTAGACAGGGGAGAAGAGTAGTGGGAATACATCGAACACATCAACAGGAATCTTCGTTGTTTTAGTAATGGAAAAAGTTTTTCGATAGAAGTTGTCCAGGATCGGAAGTCACAGGGCCAGAAGCCGCGACGTGTGAAATTAATGCACGACGATGGCTTTGATCGTCGCCCGACGGGATCCGTTCGATATAACGCTCGATCGTTAGTCTACCGGGGTATAATTGTAATTATCGCTATAGTATAATTCCGTTGTAATTTTAGTAATTAATGGTCGAGCAAATGCTCGATAAACCAACCGGGTGATGCACGCCACCGGGTGATCGATACAATTTAGATGATTGGTAATTAACTAATTCGCCGGGACATTTGTTTCTGAGCTGGTCCGATCTGCATTATTGTTTGTATCATTTGCTGCGAGATGGAAACTTTGAGATTTCGAGATAACAGTTTCTTTGAAAATTTAAATATTTGATGTAAATTTAAATATTTGGAGAAAATGCGGTACAAGCAAGAAAATTCATATTTGAAAATAATAGAAAATAATAGAAAATTTTCTAATAGTATACTTTTTTTCTAGTATAATTTCTTAATAGTATATACTTTCAAATATTCAAGTAAAACAGATTATTATATACATTCGTAAAGATTTGGTTTACAAGTAAATCTTGTAAACAGGATTACAAAGGAGATGGCTTTAATTTAAAGTTAATTGTTTGATTTTTAAATATTAAGTATCAATTCTCTCTATTACAATTTTATTTACGAAACTTTTAGAAAATATAATTGATGTATTTAGTTTCCGAACGGCTTCTGATTCTCTATACATCAGATTTACGATGAAATTATTTTCAATTGGAAATATTATTGACTTTTAGATCCAATTTAAAATTTTTGACAAGTTATACTTACAGAAAACGGAGAGTTTAATGGTTTCCCGTAAAGGCATGCCAATAGGTATCGCAGAATGGTTCGCCTCACAAGTGTAATCCATGTCATTGTCATCAGCAGTTGGTACAATGACGATAGAACCATGGGTATCGTATTTGAGCAGTTCCTTCTTACTTTCACCGGGCTTCTGTACTTCTTTGTCTAAAACAGATTTTAAATCATCATTCTGTATGTTAGAAACGCTTAAAAAATGACAAATCTGTATTATTAACATAGATTGACGTTTTTAGACTTTCCTTATCATCTTTCTGTCATAGGATAGAAAATAAAACAATTATTATTAAAGAATAGAAAATATTCCTCGAGAATATTATTGTTAGAAATCCGTAGAATCTTATTTACAAATTACGCTTACGTTTCTTAGAAATTTGCATTATTTGTATGGACCTTGTCTTTTCAGGAAATAAGATGATTAGAGTGTCTTTTATATCAAGAGAAGTATTTAATCAAAGGAAAAATAGAAAAGTTATCAAATAAATAAAAAGAGGGAGAAAAAACGATCCGCCTTTTTCGTAATTCACGTACTTCACCGTCTTGCGGGTCGATTTTCTCAGGTTCTCCCTTTTATCTTGCTCAAATGCGAACTCTCATCCATCTTTCACAAACACGCGGTCATACGTACACGTTTCCATAAAACTAAGTAGATCCCTTCTAAAGATCCTATAGATTAAGAAAACTCTAAATTAAATTTATTTCTATAAGATCACTCACTTTAAAGTCTTGGCTGTAACGTGAATCACCCACAAATTTCACGATAATGTACCGATGCTGCATAACAAAATATAGAAAAAAAAAAAGAACACTCGTTCGTTTATCTTTGTGACGAACTCTCCTGGGTTTTTAGTCATGAAAATTATTTTTCCTAAATTCAATATTACAAATTAGATTCATTCGATAATAAATTTTGTAATATCACGTGTGAAAGCATCGTTTAATTTCTTCTTACAAAATGTTTTCTAGCAATAAAATGATAGAACGCGTAAAAGCAAAAAATACTCTCATTAACGTGATGCCATCTTTTATGAATATACAATAATGAATCAGAAAGGAAAGGGAAAAAGAAGAATGCAAAAAACCTGACTAGGAGAGAATATTTGAAGAGAATATAAAAATATTTGTAGAAGACTAGCAAGGTGTATGTTCTTGTAATTTGAAGCTCTAAAAAGAGTATGAAATATTTTTTATATCAGAAGATCATCGTAGCTATTGTTAATTGCAATTATTTTTCCATTATATAATATTCTACTAATTTTGCTTGTTCAGTGTCTATTAAATCTTTCAGATTTAACTACTAAAGCTAGCAGTAAATGAAAATCGACTACCAATGTCCGTACTAACAACACGATTCTTAACGATGTAAAAGTAAAAACTTCGCTTAAAAAGATATTCGATTTCCGTAATCTGTGTCGCTACGTTCCAACGATATTTACTCGTTAGCTTATGTTCCCGATCGTTCTCCAGGCACTGTTAAAATCATTGTGAAATAATACCGGACAGGCTTTTATCCGAAGCAACGACACCTGTTCGTTTTTCAAAAGTCACGACTTGGCGTAACGACCCATTTGCCGACGCTATTAAACGCAACGCGCTCGAACGCTGCTGGAAAATGCGGTTTTATCTCTGATATCACTCGTCTAATTCCATTCTCGTCAATCGCCGATGAATTATCGAGCAAAAGCTTCGCCTTATTCGTTCCAATATATTTCGGTTCCTTCGCTCCAATATTTTTTCCCGTCGTCGACATTTATCGAGAAAATTCGCCAAAATTGGCAAATCGGTCATTCGAACTGCTGGAACAGCCAATGCATAATTTGAAATTTAATCAACACAACACAATTTCAATTACAGAACGTTCAACGAACGCGTGTAAATTTCCGTAATATTTCAAAACGATCGAGTATTAATTACGCCGCTGTTGTTTATTATTCGTGAATGAAGGAATAAGTGTTTCGCTCGTCAACGATCATAAGTCGGTTCATATCTGCCAACATGGCGGTGTAATATGCATTTCTGGAAGTGTGGAAGTGTGAGCGCGTAAATAAGATTACAGGGAAGATAGAAAATGCTCCGAAAATACTATACGGTAGATTTAGGATCTTGAAACGTTCGTTTCGGAATGTTCATTAATTATTTTACTAAGCACTTGACACTCCCGAGTCGACTGTCCGATATTAATTAAATTTAATGATCTCGCTGTTTGGTTAATTGATACCTGTTCTCGACGACGTACACGGATATGAAAATTATCGTTGACTATTTTCAATATTAATTAAACGATTGTCATGCAACCTGCTTTTGATGTTAATTATACGACTGTTTGTTGGCTAATGGATATCATTTGCAACATAAATTATTTCTTATACGAGATCCAGCGTTCCTTGTTGGATTTTTCCTTGTTGGAAATTCATATCGTTCTTAAAAATAATTAATCGAGAAAATAAATAATATAAATAATAATATAAATAAAAACGGGTGGATAATTGTAAAATATTAATCAATATTCGATCAGAGTTCTATTAAAATTATTATACGTCGCTGCGTTAAATAGTACGTTTCTCACTTAATTACCTTTCTAAATTAATTTTGGAACGTAAAATTTATCAATTTTAAATTTAAATAATTATCAGAAGAAAATTTAAAAAAAAATTATTAAATTCGATGGAATGTACACAATAAGGAGTATAACTCAACACATAATGATGAAAAACTGTTGATATTTTAAACTGTTATAACTTTGTAAAAGAAAATCACATAAGAATCTACCAGATCTCATTTTAAAGCGTAAAGCTTATATTTCATTTTCTACTTCGGTCTTTCCGAAAAAGATATTTTTACATTATGTAGCGAGTGAAAAAGTAAGAGTACTTTTATTTTCAAACCTTGTAAAAATTTAAACATCTGTAAAAACGTCGAAAAATTTTTTCTGTAAATTTTATTTGATCCATCATGGTTTTAAAAATTTTAATTTTTTCTTTACAACGGTCCCTTAAAACTTGCTTTACGATTTCTTTTTTGTAATTTTATTGAACTTCGAATATTAAAGTTAGATGACGAAATGTTAGGACTTATTGAATTTTTGTTCTTTAATAATTCAAAGTTCAATAAAATATTGTTGTAAATAGGAAATTGTAATCTTCAAAGCACCCGTAATGGATTTAGTCATGAATAAAATTTTTCAACGTTTTTATATTTGTGTGAATTTTTATAATTTTTTTTTTTTAAGAAAAGAACACTTTTCCGTTTGGTGTTAAAATAAAAAAAAAAGAAAAAAAAATTTAAGGTGAAAACAGTGAAAATAGAAGCTTTACGTTTTAAAATGAGACTAAACAGATTGTGATCCTTTTTTAACGAAATTTAACAGTTGAAAGTATCGACAATTTTTCATTTAAATTAATTGCGGTGCAAAACTGACTTCACAAAAACAAAAATTTATATTTGCCAGAATAGCGATGCAAACACCATAAAATTTTGTTCAGAAAGTTAAAACATTCTACTATGCAAACACTCGATAAATTATTATTAATGTTAACAATCCATACGTATCCGTTCAGTTCACTATAGGTGCTTTTAAGTTGTTATTTAAATTTCGTGCAGTCAGCATTCTAACAATTGTTAGAAATCAGTAACTTTTAAGGTACAGTGATTTAATGAGGAGAACAGAGACACCTGGAATGCAATCAACGAAAAGCGTCCATTGACTTAGAAAACGATGAGTTTCGTAACTCACACGACGCGATGGAACGTGTGCGAGAACGACAGCGAGAACATGCGTGGGCATAGTTAGAAGTAGACTAAGTCACAGGACTTAGTTGTAAACTAGTCGTAAACTACGAAATTTTGATGCAAAGTGTGAAATCCAACTGGATGACGTGTGTGCACGATTCTGCTCTACCAGTTCGTCTTTCGTTTCCAGAGACTAAAGACGCTTGAATTTCCGGATGAAACGGAAACGACTTACATTTTACGGATTTGTAAAAAAATAATTTCATCATTTGAATGAAAGAGATAGATATTAAAATGTTAAGAACGTTTATAATGAACTATAGCAAATTATTTTCTTTTTGATAAATATGTTTCTTTCTAGTCAGAAAAAGCTTCAATCTGATACTCTTTACTGATTTCATGATTTTGAAGCAACAACGTTTGGAAATATTACAATTTTTTTGATTATTTTTCTGTACATCAATAGATTTAGTCTTTACAAACCGAGTTTTTACAAAACTAATATCAAAAACTTGGGTACATGATGGTAAAAGAGGAACAGGATATTGATTCGAAAGGTTCATACTTTGAATGAAAAATGTTATATTGAAGTAAATTATATTTATTGTTATCTGTTCTGGAAATTTATATTGCTTATTTTATTTAGAAATTTACAATTCAAATAATAAATTATAAGTCTAGGAGATCCTTTAATCTACGTTAAACTATATTATATCATAACTGATAATTTTATTTCAAATCTTAATTTAAGAAGATGATTATGAAATAATTTTCTTCCAAAAGAAGAAAATTCTAATCTGAATGAAATAATTCTTTTCGGGACCAAAAAGAACCAAAAGAAATTTAATTTTCATTTTCTTTTTTTCGATCAACCAAAGATACACGAAACGAGCGTGCAGTATGATTTTCCCCATTTTCAATTCATGTTGATTTTTAATTTTTCAAGAAACTTCAATCTCTCAGTCGAAATTCCAGTCCAATTTTTTTTTGAAACGAAAATTATTTTCCTCGTTATGATAGAATAAATTTCCTTGTTTTTAAAATATAACAAACAACTCCACATAAATTAATTAGCTAGCCTCTTTAGATTATAATATGGTAATATATTATACAAAGATCTCATTATGGTGATTATTTTACGAAAATAATCGTTCGTTGAATCTTTTGTTTCCATTTTGTTCCTGCATTATACTTATTCTTATTCGATACTGTGAAATGATTATACTCTAACGTTTTCCTGTCATATTTTAACGTGTCATATGTTAACGAACTCGTGACGTTCTTTGCTTATAATAAACGAAGTTAAAATATATTTCGTTCTGATAAAATTGAAAATTATTTTATCAGAATATAAATTTTTTAAATAACGTTTAGAATTTTATTTCAAAGATTTAGCTAATAACATGTACAACTATTACTCTTTAAATTTATATCAATAAATTCTATATTAATATTACATATTCAACTAATAAAACTTGCGCACTAAAGCTTTGTTTAAAATTGTTTCAAAATTCATACTTCTTTTCAACAGTTAATGCCATTGAACCCTCCTTGAATCGTATGAAATATTAATTTGTCGGCGTTATATTTAATTTTCATTTAATTTAGGTTCAAATTTATTCTGTATCCCACGTTTCAACTGATGTGTATC